AGAGATTGGCTATGTACTATTTAGTATTTCTTGATGCATAATTATTTGCCCCAATTTATTGGTATCTCTACAGTATCTTTGTCAACCTACATGCGTTTACTTAGACCACCAGTACCACCAACCCCCTATTCTTTTTAATTTTTATTTTTCAGTTACAGTTGAAATTCAATATTATTTTGTATTAGTTTCAGATAAACAGCACAGTGGTTAGACATTTATGATTTTAAAAAGTGACCCCCTCCATTAGCCTAGTACCCACCTAGCACTATACAGTTATTACAATATTATTGACTATTTTCCTTATGCTTTACTTTACATCCCCATGACTATTTTGTAACCACCAATTTGAACCTCTTTATTTTGTAATCACCATTTTCACCCAACTCCTCAACCCCCTTCCCATATGGCAACCATCAGTTTGTTTTTTGTATCTATGAATCTGTTTGTGCTTTGCTTGTTTTTGTTCTTTAGATTCCACATATAAGTGACATCATATGGTATCTGTCTTTCTGACTTACTTCACTTAGCATATATCCTCTAGGTCCATTCATGTTATTGCATCTTTCTTCTTTTTAAAGAAGAAAACAAGTAGAAATATGCATCTAAGCTCTGCTTTCGCTATATCTCATACATTTTTGATATATTGTTTCTGTTTTCATTCATCCTAAAGTACTGTCTAATCCCTTGTGAATTCTTTGGCCCATTGCTTATTTACAAATATACTGTTTAATTTTTACATGATTTCCCAAATTTCCTTTTGTTACTGATTTCTAATTTCATTCCATTGTGGCTGGAGAACATACTTTGTATTATTTGTCTTAAAATGTATTGAAATTTGTTTTATGGCCAAGACTATAATCTATCATGGACAATGATCCATGAGCACTTAAAAAGCTTTAAGTTCTGCTTTCAATTGGAGTGTTCTATAGATCTGGTAGATGTACAGTGTTATTCATGTTTTGTGTTTGCTTTTTATCTTCTTCCTAGTTCTATTCATTATTGAAAGTTAGGTATTGAAATCTTCCAATATTGTTCGATTGTCTCTTTCTCTCTTCGATTCTGTCAATATTTACTTCAGGTATTTTGGGGCTCTGTTGTTAGGTGCAGATTGAGACTTTTATCGTTATAAAATGTCCTCCTTTGTCTCTAGTAACATTTTTTTTGTCTTAAAGTCTATTTATTTGATATTAATACAGCTACTTCAACCATCTTTTGGTTACAATTTGCATGGTTTATCTTTTTCCATCCCTTTAATTTCAACCTACTTGTATCTTTGATTCAAAAACTGTCCCTTGTAGACCCAGCACATGGATCATGGATTTTTACCCATTCTGTCATTCTTTGTCTTTTCATTGTCATGTTTAATTCATTAACATTTCATGGAATTACTGATAAGGTATAATTACATTTGCCATTTTGCTATTTGTTTTATGTAATTGTCTTTTTTGTTCCTCAATTCTTCCATTACTGCTTACTTTTTTGTTGTTAAACATTTTCTAGTGTTCCATTTTAATTCTATTGTTTCTTTTACTATATTTTTTTGAGTTATTTTCTTAGATGCTCTGGGGATTACAATTAACCTCTTAATTTATAATAATCTAATTCAGATTAATTCCAATTTAATTTCAACTGTATATAAAAACTTTGTTTCTTGTCCCCTGCTCTGTTCTACTATTGTAATACTATCAATAATTACATCTTTATAAATTATAAGCCAAAAAACACTGTATAATTATCACTTTTCATAAATGTCTTGAATGAGACAGAATTAAAACAAAAACCATATTTATACTGCCTTTTAAATTTATCTGTGTAATTACTTTTACTGGTATTGTTTATTCATATGGATTTAGTTACTGTCTTTTGAACAGTACTACTGAATGCAAAGAAACAGGATTGAAAAAGCATTCACTAACCATTCATATAAGCCAAGTGATACTTTTCTGAATTGCTTTATTAGTATCAACCGAATCATTATTTATCACTATCATCAATGTGCCAATTCAGTTCATCAGCTTTTTAGTTTTAAAATGCCAGTTTCTATACTATATATAGACTATTAAGAAGTCAATATGTTTACAGACACATATGAGACACTGGGATTGATGATTAGTAGTTAAATAATAGCTATTTTATTCAGACATTCCCCAAGAGAAGGCATAATGCATCATTTAGAGCCATGCTGAAATCTTGGAAAGAGAAAATCCTTTCTTCAAATGTAATCAAGTTATTTCCAAGGCAATAATGATGAGAAAAGCCTCCTAAGTCACTTTTGGCCTTTACTCATATACCGGTTTATAATACTATGTTTGTATGGGATGTGGGTGAGAGTGGTATACTCACATACTTAATTATAAATCTTTAGGAGCAAAAATCGTATCTTGTACTTAGTATTTCTCATACAACTTGAGTTAGAAGAGGTTATCCTAGAAAATTCCTGTGAAGTTGAAATGTATTTCATTTCCTAAAAAAGCACTATTTGAGGACTAACCATAATATCTAATCAATTTTAAATCTAATGATTTATTTATTTNATTTTTAAAAAGGGGGATGAGGATTCTTCAAACACAAAAAATGGTTCATATGCTTCTAGTCAAAATGAATGATAAATGTCTACTACAGCTTCCCTAAGAGCAACACTAGTAACAGTGATGTCAGGAGGGATTCCTTCTAGTATAATTCATAAGCCAGAAGAACCACAATATATGACACAGTATCAAATATGTTTACTATATAAAACCAGAAAATATTGAGGCAATAATCTTGATGGCGAATTAAAAAGAAAATTAATCTCAAGAGGTGAAACAGAAATCATCCCATCATATATCCCCAAGAACGTCAAGACAAGTGACAAACTATCTGCTATCCTGAATTTTTAACATGCATGTACATGACATTTCCTCCTGTCAGGAACTGTCTTTGAGTTTGCTTTTTACTCTGGGCACGGGCCCAACCAGGTGTCAGTCGTATCTCCACAGGCAAGCTCTAACCTGGTCATGCTGGCATACCAATAAGTTCCTAAGTTAAGACAAAAAAATGCCTGTTGTCAAGTTTATTGACCTCTCACCTCTAAATCTTATCTACTTTTTGTTCAGTTCCTTCCATTCCTACCGCAGCTATTGGTCCACTCGTACATTTACACTTTAGTATATCTATCTCTCATGGTTTTTGAACCAATTTCTTCAGTCTTTTAAACGTTTATTGAATGCTTCAATTTAGATTCAGCAAACATTTACTGAGCTCCTTCAGGTTCATTTCACCCTCATAGTTACAGCAGCTCCAAGAAGCTATTATCACCTCCATTTTATAGAGAAGCAAACATATTCAGAGAAGTAAAATAACTTGTCTGAGGTCACTCAAATCAAATCTAAATCTATCCACAAAGTCCTGTGCTCTTTCCATTCATCTTTATCTCTCCCTATCAAACTACAAGACACTCAGCTAGTTAGAATTTAAGGCTTCACTCCATCTCCTAAAGCCTGTCTTTCAAACTCTGCCTAAAAACCTGTCCTCTAGACTCAATGACCCCACCTGACTCTTTACATCTTGCTCTAGTAGGTTCTTCTATCCTTAGCTCTTGTCTCTATATTCATCTTTACCATTACTGCTATATGCTAGCTATGGTGCCCTCAACATTTCAAAAAAATTTCTTCTTACAGAATCTCGTTTGGGGGTAAAAGAAGTAAGTCTTGAGAGGGCATCATGCATTTGTTTCAGCCTGTTGTCTTCTCTGTTGCAACATCAAATTACTGTAATTAACTGCTTAATAGATTCTTTTATGCATTAGACTATATAAACAATGTGAAGCCAGTGACCTGCCTGAGGTAACAATAGCTGCAGACACTCCTGGAGCCTCAAAGTAAATGAATATCTGCCACATTTATAAATTTTGCAGGAAAAGAAATCTTAACAGACTTAAATTTGACCATAAAAAGAAGTTAGTGAAATGAAGTTGCTGCTAAAAACTATCTGAGCACATGCGGAAATTAAAACCAGGATACACTTTTCATGCCATGTTTATTCAAAACAGAAAAATTTACAACTCAAGCCAATCGCTCTTGAGTTTTTCAATAGCAAAGTTAACAAAGTAAACCCTTATCTTATAAGCAAATCATAATTGTCCACTATAGACATTAAGTTTGTAAAGTAACAAAATATGACTATTTTTTTCTTAGTTTCCCTAGGAGGCAATGTAATGTTTACGAGAAAAAGCTTTGTGTGATCTTAAGCCTTTCATTTTGTTTCATCTGCAAAATAGGTAGAGGTGTACCTACCTTATAGGATTGTTGAAAGAATTAAATACAGTATTACCTTGGTTTGCGAGCATAATTCGTCCTGGAAACAAACTGCTCGTATTGCAAGACATCGCTCGTTTACCAAGTTAAAATGTATTAGAAATGTTTGCTCGTCTTGCGGAACACTCGCAAACCAAGTTACTCGCAATCCAAGTTTTTACTGTAAGATCATAAAGTTCTTAGCAGTGTTTTTTCACAAAGTGAGCACTCAAAATGTTCCTTTCCCTCCTCATTATTACGTATTATGTCCTTAGTCATTGGAGAGAAGAGAGTAGCAAGAAAAAGATAGTTTTATTATTATATAATTTGGCAGTCATTTAATTACATAATTAAATCATGACTTCAATGATTTGAAGTCATGATTTAAAATAATCATTAAGATACAAGATTAAACTTAGATTAAAAAAACCCCTCAGGTCCTAGTACATTGTTTGTCTAAAGTAAAACAGAACAACTTTAGTGGCAACTAAATATATACACAAGAAATTTAAACATTAATTAGTGAGAAATTTTAGAAGTGACTTCAAGACAGTCTCATTATTTCACTGTCTTATGCAACCAAAACAACATTTTGAACTCGAGTTTAAAACATGAATTAAAGGAACCCACTGTTGTGAAGTTTTTATTCTGTTTAAAATTTTATGTTCTTCTTAAAGGTATACATGTGTACTAGACATAAAAAAATAAACATTTCAGATTCCTTACCTGTTGTGTTCCATCTGCACTTACAATAGGGGCAGATAGAAGAGAAATATCACTACTTAAAATCTGAGATGTATCCAGTAGTGGTGGATGTTCTGCCATTATCAATAAGACATTAATATACCGGATAACCCTCCAACTCTGAAAAACAAAAATATATAGCCATTTGTGTGTATATCCTTAGAAATATACTAAAATATAATACATTCAAGATTTGTCTCATTCTTTAACCTTAAGAGATATATATTCCTGTCAAAGGAAATTTTACAATATTCTGTTGACTACTTTTTCTGTCAACAGACCATTTAAGGAAATATATTTCTTACAACTTAACCAACTGTCTGTCAATGTACACAATAAACTAAGATATAATAAAGCCAATATATCAGCAGCTTCTATTTAAATTCCATGTTTCTCTATCCCTTTCATCTCTATACAGTATTTATTTAATTTAACCACCACTACTTGTAGCTAACCACTGGGATAGGCACATAAATGTAATAATTGAGGTTACTCTACCACTGTTTTTTTTTTTTTCTATGAGCAGAAAAGGTGATGATGAAGACCCAATTCCCCCTCATCATCCTATCAATCTCTAAGAACTAAATAAGAATTATGATTTTTCATTTATTCCTCAGAGAAAAATTTGCTCAGGATTAGAATAAGAATCTTCAAGTTTTAAGTTTTACGTTCTTCCATTGGCCTTCTATCGTTCTGGTTTTATGATTCTTTTCTAAGTCATACCTACTTTATGGTAAACCAAATCATTTCCATGATAAAAGAAAAAACACTTAGAAATTTTTAACTGTAGACAGAGTATCACTTTATGTAAAAAGTATAGAACTTGATGATGTAAGTTAAGCAATATTAGTCTACCATATATGTCAAACAATAAAACATCAACAAATTATATGTCAAGATGAGCACGATTGAGCTCAATCATAAATTTTACCAAATCTACACTGAAAGGCAAAATAACATTTTTAGATGCTTGCAGAAGTNCAACCTAGAATCAGAAGTCCTAGCCAGAGCAATTGGGCAAGAGAAAGAAACAAAAGGCATCAAATTGGGGATGAAGAAGTTAAATAGTCACTTTTTGCAGATGACATGGTTCTTTACATAGAAAACCCTGAAGACTCCACCAAAAAACTATTAGAAACAATAAATGAATACAGTAAAGTTGCAGGATACAAATTCAATGTACAAAAATCCATTGCATTCCTATATACTAACAATGAGATTTCAGAAAAAGAAATGAAAAAAAAGATTCCTTTTGCAATTGCAAGAAAAAGAATAAAATACCTAGGAATAAACTTAACAAAGGATGTGAAGGATCTATACACTCAAAACTAAAAGACATTATTAAAAGAAATTGAAGAAGAAATGGAACAACATTTTCATTTCCAAAGAAATGGAAAAATATTCCGTGTTTATGGATTAGAAGAATCAACAATTAAAATGGCATAGCAATATACAGATTTAATGCAATCCCCATCAAAATCCCAATGGCACTTTTTCAAGAAATAGAACAAAAAAATCACCAGCTTTGTATGGAATCACAAAAGACCCTAAATAGCCAAAGCAATCCTAAGAAAAAAGAACAACGCTGGAGGTGTCACATTCCCTGATTTCAATTTGTACTACAAAGCAACAATAATCAAAACAGCATAGTATTGGCAGAAAAACAGACACACAGACCAATGGGACAAAACTGAAAATCCAGAAATAAAACCCCATACATATAGGTGTAACACGATATACTGTTAAACTTTTTTTTATAAGCAGAAAGAATACACTCTAAAATCACAATAAAAAGTATAGTACAGTAAATACATAAACCAGTACTAGTCATTTATTATCATTATCAAGTATTATGTATACAACTGGCAGCAAAGTAGTAGGTTTGTTTACATCAGCATCACCACAAACATGTGAATACTGTAATGTGTTACACTAAGATGTTACAATGGCTAAGATATCACTAGGCAATAGGAACTTTACAACTCCATTATAATCTTATGGGACCACCGTAGTCTATGCCATCTGTTACTGACCAAAACATTATGGGTCACATGACCATATATCAGATTAGTTCAGTAATATTAATGCTTACTTTCAAACTTAACAGAAAAGTATTAATAGCATGAGTTTGGCTTATTTAATCATTTCCATACTTAAGTTAAAGAAAACTCTAGGTTTCATTTAACCAAATATTCAAGGAAGAAATAATTTTGAGCTTACACAAATTTACCCAGAAAATAGGAAAAAAAAAAAGGGGATACCCCCCAATTTATTTTAAGGCTAGTGTATCTTTGATACCAAAGACAGGATAGTAGGGAAAAAATTTATAGACCAATCTCTCTTATGAAATATAGACTAAATATAAAATCTTAGAAAAAAATATTAGCCTACCCAACTCCAGCAATATATAAAAAGGACAACATATCATAACCAAGTTAAGTTTATCCCAGGAATATCAGTTAAATATTAGAAAAATCAATGCAAATTATCTTATCAAAATTTTAAGGAGAAATATTATATGACCAGAGATGCAGAAAAATAAACTAAAAATATTCAACACCCACTTATGGCAAAAAATTCTTAGCACACAAGAAACGAGATGGAACTTCTTTAATCTTATGAAGAATATCTACAAAAATCTGATAAACATCATGCTTAATGACAAAATGCTAAAAAAATTCTCTTTAAGACCAGAATGAGAATGCTTACCATCACTACCACTTCTAGTCAGCATTATATTGGCTGTCTTAGCATAGTAATGAGAAAGAAGAGGTATAAAATAATCATAAAAGAAAAAAAATTGTCATTATTTGCAGATACGATTTTATACATTAGAATCTACAAATTATTGCAAATAATAAAGATATATGAAATTATTATCTAACAAGATTGCCAGGTATTAAAGCAGTATACAAAAATAAACTATCTCNTGGCTAATTCTGAACTCATCAAAGCCAATTATTTTAAAGATTGCATTATAGAGAAGATGACTATCCCAGTGTCCCCTCTCAAAAAAAAAAATTAGGAGATGTTCTTGTATATTCATTTTTTAATTTATATTTATTTTTGTTCACACAGAAGGTACATACATATTCTCTCTAAAATTCATATACTATATACACCCATCATGATAGCTAAAATGAAAAAGACAATCCCAAATGTTGATTTGACTGTAAAGCTACTGTCAACAATATAGTTTATGAGAGTGTGAAGTGGTACAGACTTTTTGGAAACCATTTTTTGCCATCAGTTGGGTGGGGAAAATAATTTTACCCTAGAGGGAGGCAGTACATATTTGAGGAAAATAATAGTCCTCTACAATAAGGAAGTAGAAGTAGCAAATTTGGTGTTTCAGGGAGTATAAAAGGAGTTCAACTGAATTTGAGGTACTTTAGGATGTATGAGTAGAGATAAATAAAATAATAACAGTTACTATTTGAACATACATATTTCCCTATGACCCATGCATCCCACTTGTAGGTTTCTATATTATATAGGTATATAGACTATTACGTGGTCAATATGTTTACAGACACATATGAGACACTGCATGCAGATGTACAACAAAAGCCATGCACAAGAATGTTCTTGAAAAATTATCTGTGATAGCCACAAACTGAAAACAACCCAAATTTCCATCAATAGGAGAATGAAGCAGCTAAAGTATAGTTGTATAAAGGAATATTATGCAGTAAATACTGTTACAGGTGATAACATGAACAAATGTCATATAAATAATATGTAGCAAAAGAGACAAAATAATATATATGGTAAAAATCTATTTACATAAAATTCAAAAACAGGCAAAATTATCTTTGGTTTGGGGAGAAAAAAAGAGGATACTGCTGGGGCCGGCCAAGTGGCGCGTTGGTTAAGAGCTGGCTTGGGACGCCAGCTCTGAGCAGCAGGGCCCCGGTTCAGATCCCACATGAGGCCAATGACACTGCTCTCTACAGCTAAGATGGTGAACAACAGCTCGAACTGGAGCTGGGCTGCTGGGAGTTGCCGGCGACAGTGCAGTGGGCTGCCATAAGCTACCATGTGTGGCTGCCAGCCAGCGTGAGCGGCTGGCAGCCGGTGTGAGCTGCCAAGAGCCGCCGTGAGCAGCCGTACAGAGGCCGGCAACCAATCTGCCTCACCCGGGAAGAGCGCAATGATACCAACATAGGCCAGTGAAGCAACATCCTCCACAACTAGACTAAAGAACAAAAACGACAGCAACTTGTCTGTTCCTATTCCCTGATTCCCCAGCGATGTTCCCCTCCCCCAATTCCCCAATAAAATTTTAAACAAAAAATTTCTAAATTCTTTTTAAATTCTTGTTAAAAACTAAGGCACAAACCCACACATTAGCCTAGGCCTACACAGGGTCGGGATCATCATCAGCACTGTCTCCCACCTCCACCTCTTGTCCCACTGGAAGGTCTTCAGGGGCGATAACACACAAGGAGCTGTCATCTCCTATGATCACAATGCTTTCTTCTGGAAGACCTCCTGAAGGACCTGCCTGAGGCTCTTGAGGAGGTGCCATTCTTTTCAGAGATAATGTCCATGGTGGTTTGCTTGACTGGTTTTTTCATCACAGATTTGCTTGCAAGCAGATAATATATACCCTGAACATTCCTCTCTATTAATGAAAACCTTTCAGTGTTAGCGTCCATGTTTTCAAATTTTTAAGGGGCTTGTTGATGTCTGCAAAGGCTTTTGCTAAACTCTTCATTGTGAATTTTCTTTGTGGTTCTTTTTTTTCTTCTCCTAAAGTTTTCTTCCAACCTCTTCTTCAGCTATGCATTCCTGTTCCAGTTCCAACAACTCCTCACTAGTCAATTCCTTAGGAACCACCTCTAGGAGCGCCTGAATATCATCCACATTCACACCCAGGTTAAGTTTGTTTGCCATCTCAAGCACAGTCTTGTTCATTTTTGTAGCCTCCTGACCCTTGGCAGATGCTCTGAAGTCATGATGAACATCTTTAATGTCTTCTTCCAGATGCCATTGAAATACTCCTTAGTCACATCACCTCAAACCCAAGCAAGGTTCTTGATGCAATCATAGATGTTGTAATCCTTCCAGAATTGCATCAGTGTCTTCCTCAGTTACAGCAATAGCCTGGGCAAAGG